TGCATTTTGTTTCTGAATCTAGGATAAATGTAGATGTCTATGGGCTTCAAGATCTACTTATCATCATGACATGATTGTGTTCGTTTGTCAACTTGATTCTATAAAGAAAACTATTATTATTATTTTAAAAAATATAACTCATTTTGAGGCTTTATGAAAAAAATAACTAACGACTCTGTATCTATTTTTAAAATCCAGTCAAATGCAATACTTTTATACCATATACATTTAAAGCCGTGAAAAATGTTACTACTCTTCACGTAACATTTTGACAGAAAGTGTTATTAAAAATAATGCTTTATTATTATTGAGTTTGTATGGAATGGTACCTTCTGTAACGGTAAGACAACCGTTTGTTGCAAACTCCGTGCGTTGAACGGTACTGCACCGCTGATTCAGCGCGGCGACCGCTTTAAAGTTTATTACAGACCACTGCAGCGCATGTTATAGGTACTTACTACTTGGATATTTCGCAACTAGCATTGCGTTTAATTGGGTGGAAATATTTTGGAGAAAACAACAATGCAAATTTTACCAACAAATGCGTTATGCATATACCGGCAAGACTAGGCTAGTACAGTTTACATACAGTCATACATACATAAACCCTCATGCTTGTCTCACACACACTAATAACACATTCTTGCCATTTTATAGACATTTTGATGCTCTTGCTATTCGAAAAATTGGACGTTTGTTATGCTAAAGTCTAGAAATATGGTAGACGGGGAAAGGTCATTAGCTTTAGCTATGTGTTTATATTGGCAACGTCTGTTTTGCAGTATGTCGGCGGGCGTTGTCATAAAAAAGCATTGGCAAAAAGCAGTTCATCAATAGTCTGAACTGTTTAATTGCCAGCTTCTTTACCATTATTTGCAATTCTTGATAATAAAAGTTGGCAGTAACTGTGCTGTCATGGCAAGAAGCTATAGTGAATACCACCAAAGTGTAACATATAAATTATAGCATAATGATCACATAAGCTTCTCCTGGCTAAACTTTCGTTTCGGGCAATGTTATGATGTTTAGGCACCAGGTTTTACCACTGTTATGAACGCTTGTCATTTTAGTTTATATTCCACTTCTCATTGCTGTTAAAAAATCGACACAATTCCTTCCTTTCTATGACAATTCAGTTGTATGATGCAAACTTGGACACGGGTCCCTCGCTGTGCGCTACTCAGTTCGTGAGTTAACCATATTAACTCAACCTCTTTTATTTTATCGATTTGCCGCAAATGATCTTATATTATTTTTAAAGTGTCATCGAAAGCCGACGCTAGTCAAGCCTTAGTTTTTGATGGATCCGCTTACACTATCGCCTTCAGTGTTCATAATTATAAACCTTATTCTCCTTGAGGTTCATTTGTAAAGTTCAGTAATAACGCACAGTTCTTTTGTTAGTCGATAAACTGATATTGCAAAAGAAAAAACACAAACAAGATTTTAAGTTTGAAAGTTGAACTGTTGAGTGAATGAAAATATAACAAAATATAATTTTATTTTTTAAATATCTTTGAATAGCGACCAGAGTGAAAAAGACTTATGAATGACTTCTTCATTTACATGTGAAGTTAGAAGTTAACATATTAAAATAGTGTTACTTTTTATAGCACGTGAATAAAAATAGTACGTTAATATAAATTAAAATCAAAATATACTCTGAGAGAAGAATGATTTAAAATCACTATTGCGAGCATAACATACAAAGTTGTTCAGAAAGTAGACTGACGTCACCGAGCCGGTATCTCTCCCTCCTCTTTTCCCCGCATTCTCTAATACTGTTCGCTTGGGTTCGCGCCGTCGCTGTCGCTCTACTGCTAGCGACCATGCTTTAAACACAGACGCAGTAAGTCGGTTTCATACGGAAACGGGTACGGCGGGTGCGGCCATGTTGTAAGGGTAAACTTGGCAACGTCGCACTAGACATCGACCGATTTAATCATTCTTTGGTGTCGCTGCTAAGTTTCTCGTTATCTATTTGTCCACGTAATAACTTTAAACATTGATCGACTGTGAGCAGGGTTCATTTTTTATTAATAAAAAATAATGTCAATTTTATGAATATTGAGATTGATTATTGCACTTTCATAAATATTAGTTTTAGTCCCATTCTTGTTAATACGTTTGATAGTTGACGTTATTTTAATGGTGCTTACGGTTATGATATTTACTCGCATCGAAAGGTTACATAGGTTTGATAATATATTGTAATTGTAAGCGAAATGTTTACAAGTGTTATTATAGACTTACAAAAAGTGAAATTCAGTGAAAAATAAGTTTAAAAAGTGTTACCTTTTTTATTTTTGTAATTTCTGCATCAGGTCATAAGCCCCCTTAACATGTGCCATTCCTGTTGTATGAAAGATTTGGCTTAATTGTTACACAGGCGGTTGACGATCACAGTATCTAACTACGAAACATTTGCCGCTGCCCCGTCGCCGGTCTGGAATCTGGATATTTTACGCCTGGTTTATACCGGTATAAATCGGAAGCTATAATAATTATCCGTCTAGCTTATCCCCTAGTCGGCTCCTACTACAACTTCTATATGTAGCAGAACTATGCTGTAGCTATATTAGTAGTATAGTTGTGGCACAAATGGGTCGGCTCGACAGCGGAAGGAAAGGACCACGCTCTCACAAAATAACAGTGTAAAATAGTAGCTTAACGCTGCTGTGTTTCGTATAGTGAGTGTAGAGAACCGGACACTCCTTTTACTGAAAACGAGACATTCCATCTTAGTCCTCACAGGTGACAACGCTTCTGCATTCTGCATCATTCGTAGTCGAGGTTAGATGTAGATATCTATGGGTCACAGCAACTACTTACCATCAGGTGGATTGTGTGTTCGTTTGTCACCTTTATCCTATAAAAAAAACTATGGGATGAAATGAGATGAAAGATTCTTCTACTAAGTGGCAACACGATAACCTAATATACATACAGAACCTTTGTAACTTTTATTGCTCTTAAAATTTAATGTACAAGAATAAGATTTAAAATGCGGAAGTTAGAAATTAGATGTAATTAAATGTCATCGGCTCTTAATCGTATAATCACTTTAAAATAGTCAACAAGTAAAAAGGACGTATTATTAAATAAGTTTATTGTATTTTACTACTAAAGTTCGCTTCAAAACGTTCCCGAATTTGCCTGAAGAATTTGGTAGATAAATAGCTGGTACACATTATTAGTAGTTGGGAAAGTCGCTGGACTAAAATATATCATGGTATTCGTTAGGCACATTAACGTTGTCACTAAGAATTTTGTATTTTTATTTATGACTTGCTGAGACACCAAAACAAAATTCGCAGACTTAAGATTATTCTAAAATTTTATCTCAAAATGCACGACACGCGCAATTTGATGTTGTTTTGTAGGCATAATGTTTTAGCATCTCAATTTGGCTGAAAATTTATCATGTTTAATTTACGTATCTAATAAATGAATACCTAGTAAATTATGCAAAATGTTATCGTCCAAAATGCCAAACCAAAATTCGTCACCAAAACAAGATATAAAAAAACTCGACTGGTTTTAAAATTTAACAGAGGTGACTTTAAAGCTTGCATAATTTTATCTACTTTAAGTGATCATTTTAAATGTTTCATCCTCATAACTCTGTGTAGGATTCGCAGACATTTATAAACGACCTTTATAAAATTGCGCGGTAGATAAATGGACCGTAATGTTGTAAAGAAAAATACTTAGCGACTGGTAGGTGAAACAAGTCCAACAAAGCGGCAACAGCGCACGTTGTTCAATACCTTCATAAGAGCGGCAACGTCGCTTTTTTTGTTATGCCGCGTCATGGAAACGCTCGTAGTGATCGGTGCGGCAAACCGGCCACCCGCCCGGCCTGTTTGTATGAATACATTTGGAGTAGATTATTATTATAAAAATTATTAATTTTCATTATGTATGTACATTTCAAATTATGAAATAGTAAAATAGTCAGTTGCCATATGGTAAAACAGATTGTTTTAGGTTTCAAAGAACATACGAAGTACTGTAATATAGTTAGCTTTACCATTACACGAAAACCATTTTAAGATAATATGACAATTGTACTTCTAATAAGCTATGATCTTATATTTATATCTCTCACGTGTATGTAGATGTGTTAGTGCTTTAAATAGCTTTTATTTATTTTGAACATAGCATGCAAAGTGAATACAGTAGGTATATACAGTAAATTCTTAATAGGTTACAGAATAAGGCGGATTCTACGTCCTTTGAAATCGTGATTGTGATGTGGTATATTATTATAATATAATATTATGTATATTTTATGTTTAACTTTTAATGAACCCGATATGTCTAGAGTGAAATAAGCTCAGTGGTGGTTGTTTTTTCTGTCAAATTGAAATTTACTTCAATTTGCTAAATAATTATTTTATTTGTGTTGTGAATAATTCATTTAATATTATAAAATAAAAAATTAGTTGCAACTATATGCGACCATGTTACCTACAGTGGACGGCATAAATTGCGTTGAATACAAATTTACCTACGCTACGCCGGAATTTGGCTCCAATAAACAGTAAGCAAGCTATACAAGTTGGAGTTAAAAGACGACTGTGCATTGTGTTTAATAGCAGAGAACCAGAAGTATGTATCACGATGAAATAAAACCAAGCTGGAACAAGGAGTGCTAGCTAGAATGAATAGTGTCTGAACTTGTTTGCGCAAAATAACAGTGAAGCGATGCCGGAGGACGACGTATAGCAAATAAACTGAGTTAGCTCGAAAATTTATTATTGCTTTACGTTTATTTAATTTATTCCTGTTGTATTTTTTCTTTGATTATAATTAAATTAGGCTGTTTTACTTGTTATTATACTTCTCGTCTTAATTTTTATTAACAATAGATTTACACCATCTCCTCTTTAAGTTATTTTTCTTCGTACTAACATTTGTTACTTGTTTGTATTATAAAACTCAGTTTATTTCTTTACAGCTATGGCCGAGTCCAAAATGTCAAGTTATTGGGTAGAATGGAAAACACGAACGCAGGTGCAAACGGAACAACTGTTAGCGGTTTTTGCGCTACAGTCGCCTTTATGGACATCAAGTCTGCTTCAAAGGCGCACAATGCCGAGCACGTGCTGGACGAGAGAACACTCACCACGGAGTACTACGAGCCAGCAGCGATACCATCGGCCGCGGGCGCGCCTTCGGCTGGCTCCTCGCCCGCTGGTTCTGGCTATTCGGGCTCTTCGTCCTCCGTGAACTCAGCTCCAGCGCCTGTCAACATCACGCGCTATCATCTGTCGTAAGTATTTTTAAAGTTTAAACAAAACCGAGCGAAAATCTGCAAGTATCATGTTTTACTTTTAAAATGGTTATATTAATGAAAACCTAAAATACGCATATTTTAACCATTAACTGTGGTGAACAAATTAACAAAACCATCAGACGCTAATGTCTGTTGCTTTATTTTCAGGATAAGAAGATGACTTTAATTAAATTAATTATATATCCTAAAGATAAAACAAATAACTGTAAGATTGTTTTATTTAATATATTTATTTTAAAATAATAAAAAATGAATTAAAATAAAAAAAATCTTAATTTTAGCCCTTTTTATTCTCTTATGTTTGATATTATTTGTGTCCGTAAGTACTTATGGGACTTTACCCACAAAATCAATGTTATATTATTATTTATGTTAAAATAAAGTGGACATTAGTTATATGTAAAAATAACATAAAAAACAAAAAAGAAGAAGGATTTTGTGTCACAATGAAGTTATTATACAGTTTTGTTAACAGTATAAACAGTAGTGCGATATTGATGCTTTATAACTTAGATTTAACAAAGAAGTGCGTAAAATATACTTGTATTTGTTTAGATTTAAGAATTATTATTATTGCATAAAATAAGTATTTTTTGGTTTTCATATAAATGACGTATATGTTTTCATATTGAGAAGGTTGACTGGAAGAGAAAGCCAAAAGGCATAAAGTCCTACCTTTATAATCTTATTATATTTTATAAAACACCTTAATTATACTATATATTAAAGTGTTTTATAAAATATAAATATATTAAAATGATACATGCAGATATTCAATTATTTTACTTAACTGCAACTTGCCCAATGACGGCAATCAAAGCTTCATATAAGTATATGTCTGTTGTAGCCTCGTGTTCTTTATTCTCTCAAATATGATTCCCTACTATGTAAGGCGTAATAATTTAGATAAAAAACATTTATACGCTTCATGCTTTAATTACTGTGGTAATAATAATTTTCTAGATTAGCATTTAGCATGTTCGTCAATGTCCTCGCACAAATAAATAATCGGTGCCGCCGCCGCCTATACAGTGATGATCAGCGAGCATACCAAGGATTGCAGTGTAACTTGGATTGCAGTGGGAGCCAGACTTAAAACAGTGTCAGTGAAGTGATTAAAAGTGCAAGTGACCGATGAATCGTGCTGTGAAAACAGTGTCATGATTTTTTAAACGATCTGGAGAGTAAAAGAAGGTTTATCGACGACCAATGGGATTATAAAAATCACTGTGGCTGGCGGCGGTTCCAACTTCGTTTTATATTGCACCATTTATATCTAACGCTACGTATTCTTATTGTTGCGTGCGCATATTATGTCATAACAAATATTAACTTACCTGAGTGATAAACTATATTTTAATGTTATTATTATTGTTATACTATTTCACATTTAATATGAAACGCATAATGTTTTATTCGTATAAAATTTAAGTCAATTTAGTACATAAACTGTTTGCTGTTACAAACATAATATAGACCCGATTTTACCAAAAAAGTTACAACGTTAATATTTTCACTAGAGTACTTAACTTTAGATTTAAAATTTATACCTTTTCTTACCGTTCTGTTCTATTTCTATTGTTCTATTGTTCTGTTGTTCTATACTCGGTTGTTTATTCTGTGATGTGTAAATCAAAATATTATGTCTTCTTCGTAGTAGAAATAATACTTTAGTGACAACCCTAATTAATAATTTAGGTTGTAAAATTTGACGTGAACTCTGAAATAGTTTTACGTCAACTAATTGGTAAATATTATATTGCACACATTGATAAGTGCATATTATTCATACATAGATTTTTCATAAGTGTTTTCAAACTTATTGATAACAATAATAATTCAATTTATGATCAATTTTCATATGTAAGTATATTTTCTTGCATAATCCATTTTCAAACGTAACCCATAATATATAGTAATATCTATCACTTTGCTTAAAGCATTTTTGATGAACTGGCATTTTTCTTCTCATTATCCGAGTCATTATTCAATGTTAACAAACGAGAGGAGTAGTTTAATTATTAATAACTGGCTGTATATGCAAGCGTAGCTGTAGCTTAATAAATTAAAAAAAAAGTATATGAGACACTCTTATTTGAATGTAAATCGTGTCAAAAGTTCAAAGCAATCCTTCAAAGATTTTCAACAAAGAAAGATTTACATTTTATTTATATAAATTATTATAAAATAAAATACCTGATACAATAACAATATTTACTTCTTTTGTGTTGTGTGCGTTATGTTGTTAGACTACTGCCACAGAAAGGATAATGACAAGACAACCATTGAATCAATCAGCTGTTGTATTGAGTCCACGATAGCGCTTTATTCATTAGAATTTGGCTCTATAAGAATTTATTCTAGAGTAATCTTATTATTTTGAGGATCTTTTAGATTACATTTTAAATTGTATTCATATGGCTAGGTAGTTATTTGCGTAATAAATTATACTGAAGGCGGAATGACAACTGAGAAAGGTGTCGAAGGTTGCTAGTGCGAAGCATTTGTAATGCAATTGTTAGTCTAGCTATTATCTATTCGTGATCAGGTACGGCACATAGCGTTCCCTTCGATTCTTTCTTCCTATGAGTTTCCCGAGATAAATAAATTGTGCCATTAGGTTACCTGTTTTTTTGAAGATCAGAGCATCAAGGTCGTAGTAGACGGGGAATGTTCCGACTAGAAATCTATTAGTGTTCCACAAGGCTGCGTGCTATCGCCTACGCTGTTTCTTCTGCACATTGATGATATCTTGCAAACCAGTAAAATTCATTGCTATGCGGATGACAGCACTGGTGATGCTTTTTACACCGCCTATGCCAATATTTTTCGGGGACACGTTGTCTATTACCGGAACAAACTTGTATCTGAAGTTGGGTCTTTGTTAAAGAGTATCAAATTGGCGACGACTAAATCTACTTTAATTATCATAAATATAGGCTTCACAAGACTGAGCGCTTCTAACACAAAAATGTGAAAAGAATATGAATGCAGATTAGAGAATTGCATTTCTTTCTATGTTATTAATTAACCGCTCAATCCCCTAGCGGTCTCATGAGACCTCGGCCATATTCCGTCAAATCCTTAACGGTCTCATGAGACCGCACCCACCCACAGCACTATAACCCATAAAAACGTATATTTAGAGACTACTTTTCTATGAAGAAGTTTGGCATTATAGAATCAATATTATAAAATTTTCTATCCTCTTGTTGAATAAAAATTCTGTTAGTCTATAGATATTAATTTATAATCTACATTCAAAGGTTATGAATGTTTTTGCGTGAATATAATTTATCTTTTTACGTAAATAATTTCGAGTAATATATAGAAATAATAGTAATATTCACGCTACCGACATCCGCTTGGTATGTAGTTATCAAAATCTATATTGGATTTATCATTACAAAAGTATTTTTGTAATGATTAATCCATTGAAGAACTGACTTTTGTTTAAACTATAGAAACTTTTTTATAGAAAAGTATTCTATAAATATAAGTTTTTATGTCATGCGTCCGTCACATCCCGAGCGGTTGCATGCGACCGCACCCATCCACAGCACTTTAAACCATTAAAACTTATATTTATAGACCACTTTTCTTGAAAGAAGTTTGGCATTAAAGAATCTATACGAAATTCTCTATTCTATAGTCTAAACAAAAGTCAGTTACTCTATGAATCTTTATTTTTAATCTACCGTAAAATTGCGCCATTTTCGTATGGTCGGCAAATGTCGTAAATTGACAAGAGAATAAAAATAAAATAAGTAGAGTAACTGACATGTTCAGACCACAGGATAGAGAATTTCGTATAGATTCTATAATGCCAAACTTCTTTGTAGAAAAGTAGTCCATAAATATAAGTTTTAATGGTTTAAATTGCTGTGGGTGGGTGCATGGGAATTTTAATGAATAATGAATTCACCAAAATCATATCATATATAAATTATCAACAACATGACTTTTTCTTTGCAAAGTATCAAAATTAGTAAAATAATTGAAAATTTTCTATATTTTAAACAGTATAATTATAACATAAATTTTAACCAAAAATAGACGAGACTATCAGTAATGACGTCTTGCGAATTTACCTGTGAAATACGTCTATTAAGCTGGAATGGTTATTTGGGCAAAATCACAAAAATTTAGTGTTAATTTAGTGCTGCAAAATTAAATTTCACGCTAAAATAGCTTGTTCACAATTTATAAAACTGCTAACTTTTCATTAAGCTAGCAGTGTTCTACCTCTTAAAACATAACCGCTTTATACAACATCAAATATAAGCGTCAGTAATTTAGTGCTCGTTTATTGACAGCACTTATACGCAAAAAATTTGGGAAAATATTTTTTTAAATATCATAACTTCATAAACTGCTACTTTGACATCTTTAGCAGAGTATGTGATAAAAAAAATTGACATACGAGTGGGTTATCACCTAATGATATAAGATAATAAATTAGTGCTCAATTAGTTCTGCAAGCACATGTGAAAAAAAGCGCAAGTTTTTTTCCATAAGCCGTAAACTGCTAATTTGACTGTTTACGCAAATTATGTGATGAAACATCGACCGACATCCAGTGGTTGATTAAAATTAAGTGCTGCAAGCAGCAGCACTAACTGATAATGATAAATAAACATGCGAGGAATAAGCACTAATAAATATATTTTCATTTACCGTAAACTGACACTTTGACATATGCAGCAAAGTACGAGTACATGATTAAAATTAACATCCATGTTATCCAATCTTAATATCCATGTGATATCACCTGGTGATATAGGATCATAATTCAGTGCAGTTTTTGTGCTGTTGATATACGAAAAAAAATTGGGGAAGTGTTTTTTTTTTAATACCGTGCTATAGACTGCTCCTTTGATATCTTAAGCAAAGTGTGTACTCAAAAAATTTACATCAAAGTGTGTTATTAACTAATGATATTAATAATTGAGTGCTTAAGAGAGCATAATATGCTATTTG